GAGGAGCTCGTCCTCTTCAGTAAACCTAAGAAGATGGAGGGAGGGCTGGACGTCTTCATCTACAAACACTCCTTCAAGGTAAGCTCTCCAAGAGCAGGCGAGCCCACGCCAACCGTGCGGCGAGGAACTTTCTGAGCAGAAAACGTGTGCCTGTGCTGCAGACGGCGGACGTTGGTCTGACAGAGTCGACGGGGGACAGCGGGCTGAGGTTTGAGATCTGGTTCAGGAGGAGGACATCCAAGAATCAGACCTTCATCCTTCAGGCGACAACGACGGACGCAAAACACGCCTGGACAAACGACATCGCCCGAATCCTGTGGACCCAGGCCACGAGGAACAAAGGTGCGGATGGCGGCGCGTTCAGGAGAGCGGAGAGCGCCGGTGTCGGGAGATCGACTCACCCGTTTGTCTTTCTGCCAGCAGAGATGCGTTTGAAGGAGATGGTGTCGATGGGCGTGGGCAACAAACCGTTCCTGGACATCCAGCCGAGCGACGCGGCCATCAGCGACCGAGCCGTTCACTACATGATGAAGAGCAGAGGTGCCGCTCAGACTTCACTTTTACTAGAATTCACCAATCAGCTCGTTAGTTACTGATGATCAAAAAGTAAAACGGTGATTGGGTCCTTCAGGTGCCAGAACGCGGGCGTCCATCGCCGTCTCCGTCTTCGACCATTCGAATCCTTTTAAAAGGGGAACGGTGACCTCTGACCCTGCAGCATTAGGCCCGTCTTCATCCAGCCTGCTGGGACCGCTCAATCTGCACATGTACAGGTGAGACTTACCTGTCCTGCTGTCAAAGGTCAAAGGTTCTTGTGCTGGTTTTTATAACATCCTCCTCCCCCTCCTGCAGTCAGGGCATCCCCCCTCCTCCCACCGCTCAGAGCTCCTTCAGCGCTTCGTGCATCGAGGAAGACGAGCAGGAGCACGAGACCAGCAGCCAGCCCTCCATGAGTACGTCAGCACACACCTGAACTCATGAGTCTCAGATTAGGTTTGAGTAATCTGTGCTCTTCGTCCCAATCCTCCAGCCTCTTCACTTTAACGCCTAACTGCTGTTTCTTTTTTCTGTCTTCAGCCACTGAGAGTTCAGGTTCGTCGTCTCGCTGCCTCTCCGGCTCTACTGGCTCCGACAGCGGCTGCGTGTCCTCCCACCTCCAGGAAGCGCTGCCCGAGGAGCCCTCGCCCTCTTCCCCCAGCAAACAGCACCTCAACAGCCCGTACATTTCAGCTGTGAGTGCAGGCAGCGCCATGAAGGAGGCGGAGTTAGAGCATTTTTAAATATGTTTGTCATCTCTCCGAGCGGCTCGGTGATTCTATGGGAATTTCTCTGAGTTTCTAAATGTTTGGTTGATCGTGTTCTCCGTCTGTCCTCAGAAAGCAGCTGCAGTCATCAGCCCGGCAACCATCGTGTGATCAGCTCGCCTGAATGACGTTCCTGTAAGTCTGCAGGTCCTCACAGAGGGATGTGTTTGGGGGGAAAACTGGAAATGGGCAAACCCTGACGGCGTTTTGGGTTATTGCAGAAAATAAGCGGGAAAGCAAAGTATGAGAATAAAAATCAAAAAGGGAAACAACCTGAGCAAACTGTTAATGATAACTTTAACCGTGCGAGTCTTTCTAAAGACAGGCAGACGTAAAGGCTGACACATGAAGCAAAAGCTATAACAATGAGTTCGCAACAGATCAGAGACTCAGTGAGCTCAGGATGGTCGCCTTTAAGTAATCTGCATTAATCTGTAAGCCCCGCCCCAAGAAAACACTGATCACCAGGTAAAAATATAAACGAGTACAACACGATTTCAGCGGCTGCTGGAGGTCACCGACTGGTCTGTTTGGTCTGATGACCCCCCAGTCTCATGTCTCCGAGGTGATGCGCGAGACCTCCATACATGCCTTAAATCCGTCTGTGTGTGCGCGCAGGTTCGTCTGCTTCCTGCTGCAGTTCTGCGTTTCCTCCCGTTTGACCCGGACGTCGGACAGCTGCTTTCATTTGTGTTGTAAATAAGGACAGTTTGAGTTCGTATCCTCGCCGCCGCGTCCGTTTGTCATGCTGACCCAGCGTCAGTCTGCGGGCGGGCCGGCATGCTGCGAGGATGGCAGGTTTGTGTCTGTACATGTGTGTAAATAAACCCTCAGCTGAGCGTCTGCTGTCACTTTTTACTTGAATAATAAACTGAGTTTGTTCACATGCTTCCTGTTCTGTGTTCTCTCTGAGATCAGCTGACACGTCTCTTGTTAGTTTTTCACATCATTACTGTTACGTTGACTTTTGTTTTTCTAGTGAACTTTAAAATCATACAGCACCTCTCTTCTGATTGTACTGTCACATGCAGAGTTACACCTATAGGATCTCATTTACCACCTGTAAAAGTAAATTACTGTACCTGTACCAGGTAGTGTAAAAACTAATTTTAAATAAAGTTTCATCATCACACAACCCAACATCTCCTGCACACGTTGAGGTCAGGCGAGTGTTTCAAACAGCCTCAGCCCGGATCACCTCAGTGAACCCGAGGCATCCTCTCCTCACTTCAGCAGCTGAGCGATTAAAGATGAAAAACAAACCTGATGGTAGAAAAAGTTGTTTATTGTTCATCAGCTGAAGCAGCGACGACGCTCCAAACATCTCAGAGCAAACGGAAGACACTGATGGGGTCAGAGGTCACCGAAACCTACTGAATCAGTCTTGTGAATTTCACATTAAGAGCCTCTGGTCTGCAGCCCTTTTCTTTGATTCAGATTAAAAAAAGAAAACATCCAGCTCCTCCTCAGAGCCTTCATCTGTTTCACCCTCATCAGTAACTTTCAATCCCAGCCGACACCAAAGTCCCAAATATAAAACTTTATTAAAACCATCCGTCTTTCCATGTGCTGAAGTGACAAGGCTTTTAATCTGAAAGTCACATTTAAAATAAACTCCAGTTTCCTACTAAAAGTATGACCTCTGACAAACACATCGATGTGTCTGACGACCTGTGTGACCAATCAGAGCACAGTAACACAAACTCCTGATAAAAGGAAAAAGTGGTTTTTGCATAGCGAATTACAAAGTGCTGAAAAGTACAAAAACACGTTGAGCACGCCTCCTTCAGCTCTTCATTAATCTTTAAGACGTTCTGACTGGACATAAAGATGGATGACAGGAAGTGAGGAAACGTGGTACACAGGTTCCAAGTACATTCTTACTGTTTTTTGATTGGGTGCTTTAAGCTGATGTCTGTGGCCATGATTGGCAGCTTCTCTGATTGAGGTCACAGTTATTCCGCATTAAACCAGAATGGCGGATACTCTGAGGAAGAGGCGGCATGTCATCCATCTTTATTTACAGTCTGTGGCTGTGACAGGAAGCCGAGCGGAGTACAATAAAAGCACTGCTGCTGTAAACAAACGTGCTGTAACACTGATTTCTGCACAAGGGCTTCGTGTGCAGCTGCTGAGCGTCTGTTCCCGCTGAACTCGGGATCAAGCCAGAATTCAGTTTTAGGAATTTTCCAGAAGCTAAATCACTGAAAGTATTTTTCCTCCAAAGGAACTTGCAGAACAGATGCTGCAGGCTTTGAGCTGAGCAGGAAGTGCAAGGTGGTAAGCCAAGTTTGCTGATACCACCTTGCATCTCACCAGGCTCCAGTAAAAACGAGTACAGACATATTTCAGACAAAAATGGGATATTTAATCACTTAAACCGGCGGCTGTCTTTCCTGAGCCTGGTTCTGCCGGAGGGTACTTCCTGTTAAAAAGATGTTTTTCCTTCCCACTGTCACTACGTGCACATGGGCGCTGTCTGTTATTGTAGGATCTTTATGAAGTACTTGAATATATAAAAAAAAACACACTGCTTCTGATATACTTCACGATATTTGTAAAACTAGAAACCCATCTAAAGCGAGACAAAAACGACCAACGGCGACGCGCCTCACTCGTTTTTGGCGGGCTCAGGACAGACGTCACAAAATCTTTCCGTTTTCACTCTGCCTTCACGGAAACAGTCAGGAGGGATTATATGAATTTGAGGACTTTCCAAAAACTGAAAGTAGCTTCACTTTATATCCCGTGTTTCCATCTCGCTTCCCGCCGTTGTTTGGGGTGTTTTGGGATTGTCGTGACGGTCAAAGTTATCGCAGAATATCGACTGCAAACGTTTCAGAGCTCGAGTTCCTTCAGCGGAAACAGCTTTTCAGAGTAAACTACAGGAAACTAAAAGTTTGAGTTTACGTTTCCACGCCGTGCTCATCGAATTTAATCAATCATTGTTCAGATTTTAACTTCTGACCGAAGTTAAAAAATTTTTTTTAGCAGGAACATCTTTTACGATGACAAATATATAGTTTCAGCCAATGAACCGATCGGGAGTCAGAAAGAGGAAATCGAACACCAGCAGCTGCACATGAAAATAAAACACTTCAAAATAAAAGCGCAGGTTGTACAGTTCCTTTGAAAACGTACAAAATAAAAGCAGCACGTGTGCCATTAAACGACTAAATACAAAAACACAGAAAAGCATCAAAAGTAAAAACAGAAGCTTCTTCGCGTCTTTGAACAGAGAAGAAAAAGCTGCTTCGCAGGGACTTTCTCTGCTTTCATACATATTTATCACAGAGACGTTTTAAAGGAACAGAATTAACTAAAGATGCATTAAAAAAAGATAAAATATAAAACTATTAGTTCTGTTTAGTTAAAATAAACTCTGAAAGGAAATGAAGGCTGGAGGTCACATGAAGGTTAAGACATTTTAGTGAACACAAAATTTAAAACTCGATAATATTTTTATGATTTCCACTCGTCTGTTCGAAGCCCGCCGATCTTACCGGGCTTTTACTTCCTATGTTTGAGTTGGAAATTCAAGATTGAAATGAAAATGATTTTATACATTTTTATATATATTTATATATATTTATTTTAATTTTTTCAGCTGATTTCCTGCAAAGTTTCCTAAAATACAAAGCTGCACATTTCAGGACGTTTTCAAAGAAGGTCCTGCACAGTTTGCCTCTGATAACCAACATCAGGTAAGTTCCTGTAGTTCAGCTTATTTTTAGGCGGCGTGCAGGAGATTAGCTGAAGCGATCTGACCGAGGCCTGAACCACGAAGCAGGATCTGGGCTTAGAGACCTCAGGTTTAACACAGGTTTTGGGGTTTGTGACGGCGGTGCGCGAGGCTGTAAACCTGTGCACAGATTCAGAAAACCTGGTTTGGCTTCACAACCACCGTGTTCCCACTTTTCACGATTAGATCATGATGAGACATACGAGGTGCGATCGGAAAGTTCAGTTACGGTGTTTATTAAAAAAATAATAATTAAAAAATGGAAAACATTGATTCTGATTTGAATTTGGTCGAAGACTCTTTGGGAATGAGTTGCTGCCCCATCGGAGAAGTGTGTTCATGAGTGAGGGAGGCAGGAAGCGAGAGCCTGACGGATGGATTTGAAGATGCAGACAGAACAGAGACCCGAGCGAGATCCAGCCGCCATCGCGGGAGATTGTGGAGCTGCTGACGTCCACGCTGCAGTAGGTGGATACCCGCCTGACTGAACTCTTTAATCGCACCTCGTATCCTTGGTTACCTGCTTCGTAGTCCAGGCCGCTGGTCTGTGATTGGTCAGTTGCTGTAAGAGTCGGACTGAAGCCTCTGCAAGAGTCTGCTACATGTCTGATCCTTAAATGCTTCATCCTCAACGCGTAAAATCAGAGGAGAGGGCGGAGCCACAGCTCCACCCACTTTGGTACAAACAGTCATCGGCCTTGTCCTTCATCGCCATCATCATCATCATCATCATCATCATCGTCGCCTCCGTGTTCTCGCTGCAACAAACACTGAGATGCTGCGTTGGCTCAGCCTCCGACTGCTGAGCTGACAGCAGACAACAAGAAAACAGAAGAAGAAGAAGAAAAGGAGGAGGAGTCACAGCAGGCTTCTAAACTGTCCACAGGTTGTTCCTCAGCTCCTGCTGCAGGAGGAGGAGGTCTGAGCCGAGGCTCCGCCTACAGCAGCGAACACCTGAACAGGCTCTTCTTGGAGCGGGGCTCCGTGATCTTGACGGGCCCACCTCCACCTGACGGGTTGTTGTCGTTCTGCAGGAAGAAAGAAGGTCAAAGGTCACATCAGCTATAAGAACACAGCGGGGCTGATTATGGCGATTAACAGCATCTCCTGCTCACGGTGACCAACTCCGTCTTTAATTTTAGCGGCACGTTCATCCCCGCACGTTCAGCTGATAAAGTCATTTACATATCTGGAGCCAGCTGCTCGAGTCGGAGCGCCAACTCACCATTTTCCTGTTGAGCCTGGCCATGATGTCTCGGGCGAGCGTGTAGAAGCCCTGTGAAGGGAAACGGGACAGAAATGAGTCGCCTCGTGTGCGCGGGACTGACGGAGGAGACGGCGGATCGGGATCAGGACTCACCTCCTCCACGTTGATACTGGACTTGGCGCTTGTTTCCAGGAACTTGATCCCGTAGTCGATGGCGAGCTGGAAAACCAAAGAGAAAGGGATTACACCCCGGTAGAAGAAAAGGTTGAAGTGACATTTAAAGCACAAGTTCAGACGCGTTTTATCTCATTGAGGCTGAAATCAGTGTGCAGCGTTTCTAACTGTCAGCAAATGAATCCCTGAAGCAAAGCAAAGAGTAAAAATCTCGTCTGCTCCTAAATGCATGATAATAAGATGACATCATCTCCTGGACGTTTCCTGTTTTCACTCAGTTTGATCGAATGAGTCCTGCTCTCTGCAGGGATCGGCTCAGACCTTCTCTCCTCTCTCCTTGGACACTTGTCTCTTGTCGTTCATGTCGCACTTGTTTCCCAGAACCATTTTCTCCACGTCCGCAGAGGCGTGCTGAAAACACACACACACACACACAAACACACACACATGGATTAATCCACCATGTTTTTAATGCTAAAATATAATTATTGTTGTTATACTTCAATTTTCAAATGTACTGCTTTACAAGAAAAAAAAATTATTTATAAATTAAAGTTATTTAGTTGCATCCTTGAACAAAAAAAAAAAAAAAAGTGTGATCTCAAAAATGTGAATTCTTGTTTTTCTGAGAAGAATTCACTGGATAGAAAACAGATCACATCGTCCCCCCAGAAGAGCTGCAGGAGGCGACCGGGGAGACGGAGGTCTTGGCATCTCTGCCACAAAGACACCGATAAATGATGTAAATTGAACACATGTCAGGTTTGCACATTTTTACCACATACACTCAAAGCAAACTGATGGATTTAGAGCTTTTCTGTGTGCTGTGTTTGTGAGGAGGGCCTACACCACAGCCTCTCAAACAGGAGATAACTGCAGCTGTTCATCACTGATCTCAATATCTGATTACTGAGTATCTGATCACAGCTGGAATTGATCTGTAATGTGGAAGTGAACGCACACGGTCGCAGAGTGAGTAACGGTACTGACACCGATCTTATCTTCTGCTCGCTGAATGTCACACATCATCAGGAACGAGAGCTCAGCAGGTCTGATGTCCAGAAATGAGTCATGAGGATGTCACATCTTCCAACCATCTTAAAGGATGGCGTACTTACTAAACTAAAATTAAAAAATATGCAGGAAGTGTTTTGAGTTTTAATCTTCATCAATTCACTGAAACTTTCCAGCCTGAGGAGTCGTTGCTGCACCTGTTTGAGTTATTGAGTTAAATACACTGCAAACAAACTACAGCTGATGCTGACACTAACAAAAACCCACTCAGCCTTTCAGACTGCAGTCAACTGAGTTCTGCTTTAGTCAGCCAAGAGTGATTAAAAACCGTTTAATTTAGACCGTTTGATGTGTGTGTGATTCTGTTACCACACTGATACCACAGTTTTCCCTACCTGTGGAAAGCTGTCAGCCCACTGTTTACCTCAGCTGTCAATGCTGGGTGAGAAACATCCACAGCCTGAAGGTGCTTATGCTAATTGTCACTAACACCTACAACTTTCTCCTCCACCTTTGGCACGAGTTTACTCTCTAGCTTCATAAAAGTCCATTAGTCAGAAGGGAGACGTCCTTCATATCCACTGTATTAAAAAAAACTTCTCAAAACTCATCAGAGTGTTGGAAGTCGTAATTACACCCTAACCTTTATGCAGTGCCTTGAAAAAGTATTCATACTCTTTGACTTTTCACACATTTTGTCATCTTACATCCACAAATGCGGTGAGATTTTCTAGGATAAACCAACACAAAGCAGCACATAATTGTGAAGTGGTACAAAAATAACATGGTTTTCAAAATTTTAAGCAAATAAAATGGGGTGTGCATCTAGAGACTGAAATTTTCCCCCAATCTTTGTTGCAAAAATAACTCAAGCTCAGCCAGATCTGATGGAGAGCGTCTGTCACCTCGTTATGTAACAGATCACATGACTCTGTGATGACGTCATACAAGCATTTCTTTGAAGACCTCTTCAAATCCAACTCTGAACAACGTGAGCTCTGAAAATCACAAAAGTCACGTGACAACAAAGGGGCGTGGCCTACCTCCTCGATATTGCGAATCCAGTTCTTGATGTTGTCGAAGGACTTCTCGTTGGTGATGTCGTACACCAGCATGATGCCCTAATGAACGCAAGACAGGAAATGACATCAGCACAGGAAGTGCAAGCAGATTCCTGAGGTCAGGACCAGCTTGTTTTAACAAGATGATGCATGATGTGAACCAGCTCAGGCCTCCTGGTTGTGGCTGGTCTCAACCAATCACTTGGCACAAAAGTAAATCAGGTGTGCAGGTGTACAGGTGTGCTCCCACATGATCAGAGTTTAAATCCAACTAAAGTAGATAATTGAGTCGTGGTCTCAGTCATCATGTTATTTCTTTTCTAATGGTTTTAAACTTTAGGTTTTAATTTGGACTAATGCTGATCTTCACAAGTTTTTCCATTTTATTTCTATTGGTGTCATGTTTTTATTGTTTTACTCATCTATTGTTGGTTTCTATTTCTTTATTGATTAGCTTGAATGTGTCTTTCTGTTACATTTATCTTTGCCTTTTGTTTGTTTGTGCTTCAGCTGGAATAAAATTGGCTGTATAAATAAAGGTTTGCTTGCTTGTTTCACTGGTGACTGACGTTACCTGTGCATCAGCAGAGGGGTAACAGGAAGGGGGTGTGTCTTACCATGGCTCCTCTATAATAGGCCGTTGTGATGGTCCTGAACCTCTCCTGACCTGCTGTGTCCCTGCAGGAAGAAGCCACTGTTAAACACCCGCACCGAGGAGGCTCATTAAAAATATACACACAACAAAACAGCCTCGAGTGTGAAACACCTGATTTCAGGTTTATCTCCTCTCAAAGCTCACACACGGAAGCTGGAGCAGAGAGCGGCACTCACCAGATCTGCAGTTTGATTTTCTTTCCATCCAACTCGATCGTTCGGATTTTGAAGTCGATTCCTGAAAGAGAAACAAC